TGATGTTTGCCGACTGCCACGATCGTAGCGTCTCTTTCTTTTTGACTCGCTATCCTCTTCGACGAGACAAACTTTTATCGTCAATTAAACCAGTAAAAATAGTCCAAATTATATCGTGTTTGGTCTCATTTTAATCAGAAAAATGTCCAGAATTAATTGGTAAAAGTTTGATAACAAAAAAGTCAAAAATAAAAAAGTTTTATATTTGCATTGGTATTGTCTCACGGATACATTAATACCCGGGTCACGTTACATTTCCTGGCGAGCGAACCTCGGGCGTCTCGAGGGCACGTTACATTTCCCGGCGAGCGAACCTCGGGCGTCTCGAGGGGTCTTCCCCCCAGTGGTGGGGATAACATTTTTGCTTATATCGGAAAGGACATTTTTGCTTATATGGAATGAACACTGTACTCCTTTATCACTGCGTGATAGTCCTTTTATATGCTGGGTTGCGCTGAAGTTTCCTCTCGAGTGAAATGAATCGCCTTTGAGCTTGCGATTTCGATTCCCCCAGCTGCATTATCTTGTCGTTGAACGGCAATGCCACCATATATCGCCCGTCTGATCCTCGCGAAACGTGTTGTTGAAAATGCGCTTCGTAGTATTTATCAGCATCCGAATATAACTGCCGTTGTGGCCCTTCCTCAATCTCCCAAAACCGTGCAATTCCAGATTGCAACGAGTTTGCTAAATGACACGAGGCGCCATGTACCTGTGCCGGAGATGGGGGGCTCCCCCCGATAACCCATCCTAGTGTAGTTTTCTGAAGGTATAGGTCGGATTCTTTGGGTGCAGATAAACTAATTTGATCGATACTTAACATTGACAAAGCGGCTCCGGAACCGAAAAGTAGCTCAATCGGTGCTGGCCGAAGAAAATCAGGATCCGCCAGTTGGATGTTCCGCGGTATCTTAATCCTTGACCGGTCGAAGGGTTGATCAGGGATATATTGAGCGATTTTCAGGACGGTCAAAAAGGTCAAAGTTCGCTGGTATGCGTTAACCTTTGACTGAATGGTTGCCGCAACCTTATATTTCGCGATCGTAGTCATCGCATTGAGAGACCCTACGGGAATGGAGTATTCCTTCTTCGGGATTTTCAACCGTTCCACAAGATCTTCCGTTATGAAATTGGTCGTTGCACCTGTATCAATTAGTGCGCGCGAGTTAACTGAACGTTGGGTATTGTCCAATATTTTAATTTGAGCGGTGACGAGCAAATCGTTATTAACGGTATCTATAGTGAAGACTTTGGAGTTAACTGAACGTTGGGTATTGTCCAATATTTTAATTTGAGCGGTGACGAGCAAATCGTTATTAACGGTATCTATAGTGAAGACTTTGAAACGGGTTGAATCCTTAGGGCTCCCAAGCGGTCTCTGTCAATCGTCCGATTCTCCCTCGTCGAGCGGTGATAATTCGCGCTTCATCGTCGACGCTTCGCCTACGCGATCCGGAGTTGACTTCGGCCGATGAATTAACGTGTGGTGATGTTGCTTACAGATCCGATAGTAACTTCTCTTGCAAACATCTGGATTATGATCCGCCCTTAAACAGTTCTCACAGAGTGATGCTCTCCTAGCGGCTGCGATTCTTGACTCAATCGAAAGGGAGTGGAATTTCTCGCAGCTCCAGATCCCGTGCGAACTGTGACATATCGCGCATTACGGAGGACTCGCGGTTGACGCGGATGTCGCGGTAAACGCGGTTGACGTGGTTGATCTTGGTTGATCTTGTTGGGTCCATCTTCCGTGTTTGATCGCGTTGCCGTTTAGGATTATTGGCGTTCGCAGACGGTACAAACGCGTGGGCCCGTGTTGCGTATTTATGGGTTGGTTTCGCGAGTGCAACATAGCTCGTCTGCTTCGGCGCCGACGGTTTAGGTTGAATCGTCGGCAAACAGTTCGCGCGTTTTTCCAGGAAATCCAATAAATTTTGATACGATGGCATCTGGTTATCTTTTAAGGAAATTTCCCACTGCCACGCGGCGTCTACACTAATTTTAGACAGTATAACAGAGATTAAAATGCAATCCCACGAAGATGTATTGATGTCTAAATTTTTGAGTGAACTAAGATTCTGGCGAATCGTGTCCACCAATTCCCCTAACGCTTCTGGCGTATCTCGCGTTAGCTTAGGCATCAACAATATTGCATCACAATGTTTCAAAAGTATATGCCGTTTACAATCGAACTTTTCTTTTAACAGAGAGATCGCGTCCGCGTAATTCGCGTCGGTTGTGCTTAAGCACTGACTACATGCGGCAGCCCTTCCCGTGAGCGTAGATCTTAAATACTGCAACTTCTGCACGGGAGTAAGATCGATATTTTGATCAATCATGGACGTGAAACTATCAAAATACGATGTCCAGTTTTCGATGTTTCCGTCGAAGGTCGGGAGCCGCATTTCTGGCAACTTGATTCAGATGGTGCTGAAGAATCCGTAGTGTTTCTTCGCGGAATCGCGGATGGACGGCCTCCCTCGATTAATTAGTTCGCTTGCGCAACCGCGGCTATGTACCGGTCATGGAACTCAAAACGACGCGGACTCTCGGAGTCGTCTAGTACTTCTAATTTGAATTGAATCGCGTCAAAACGGTCCCAAATGACATGCATGCTATCTAAATGCGCTCGCAAAAGACCAATATCGCGCTTTTCGGATTTCTACATTTTTTCGATTATTTTCTCGAATGCGGTGATGTGACCGATGATATTACCACGCTTACGTCGTAGTGCAGTGGTATGAATACCTTGTGAGGCAGATTGATTGGCGGAATCGTCAGAGTATTTCGACATGATGGAAGGAAAATTAAGGATATCAGCGAAAAACTAGAAAGCCGACCTTTACGATGCAGAGACCTGGTGTCCTTGACGAAGCTGCTGTATCCGCGTGAGGGTGGTTCAGAATGGCGTTGATCTGCGGGATGCTGTGGTTCACAGACTGTACGGCTGTCCTGCACGGTTGTCCTACTGCAGGGTTGTCCTTAGATGCAGGATGGTACCAGGAACGATGTGTTGTCGTAGAGATGGTGTCACTAATCTTGTCACACCATTTGTACCACGTTTTCAAAGCTAAATGTTATTTGTACACAACCGCAGTTATGTAAATTGCGTGAACTTTCACTTATTGCCGGAGAATATCCGGCTCGAAGGACCAAATGTTTTTTCGTAAATTCCTACGACTTTTTACGGAGGTAGCAAATATTTCGGGTTGTAATTGTGTAAAAGAGAAAAATACAAGATTTGCGATTATGAAAAATAACTGTTTAATTAGAAGTAAAAATGAAATTGTATGGACTTTGAAAACTAAGACGCGGGATTATACTGTTTCCCGGTTGAAGAGATTATGTTGTTTCCCTTCTGAGTTTTTTGGTATAACTAACTAACGACTTCTGTGCGTACAAGAAAAGTGTGTACTTCCACCTCTTCGCCTCATCAGTCATTTTTCTGACCAATTGAATTTAGACACCACTGACCTGTTCCTACTTCCTTGCGTCCGAAACGCGATTTGTAGGAAGTAGGAAGTATCAGTGGAAGTGGAAGACGTAACGGTGAATGTTTAAACAAAATTTGATGGAGTTTCTGATGGGTATGGGTGCCGATTACCTGACGGGAATGACGGTCACCAGGGTCAATTTGGCGACCCTTCGGAAACTCATGTTTATGGCACGGGCAATTGGCCGCTGAGGACTTCAAAAAATCTAAAATATTCTAACTGCCGTATTAAGTAATAAACTAACTCTCAAAAACGGTCTTGTTGATTTGCGTGCAATAAACGGGTCAGTTTGGCGACCCTTCGGAAACTCATGTTTATGGCACGGGCAATTGGCCGCTGAGGACTTAAAAAAATCTAAAATATTCTAACTGCCGTATTAAGTAATAAACTGACTCTCAAAAACGGTCTTGTTGATTTGCGTGCAATAAACATGCTGGTAATTTGTAGTTTGGGTACTGTCCCTGGTACAAATTGCCAGCCGTCTGGTATTTGTAAAAATGTAAAATAAAATAAACCGTAACGAATTATATTTCGTGGAGATGCCACGAAACATAGAACGTGCTCACAAACGACAAGCTAAATATTATGATGCACGACACCGAAACATTCGATACCGGGTAGGCGATTTAGTTTGGCGTAAAAATAGGGTCCTCTTGTCCACCGCAGAAAACTTAGCAGCGAAGCTGGCGGCAGCTTACGTTGGCCCGTTTAGGGTTAAAAGGGTCCTATCGCCATTGGTTTATGAATTGAAGACAACCGGAACCCGTCTGGTTCCAAAGGTCCATGTCTCCGATTTGAAGCCGTTCGTCGGTGACGATCCCGACGACGGCCCGGTATCGACCCCTTCTAATCTTTGTCTGCCACCACAGGATGCAGCGACAAGGCCGAAGGGGAGGAAGGACGTCCCGTAATTCCGTGAGGGCCCACCAACTGGAGCAGGAGTTCCAACCGTTCCCCCCGGGGCACAGTGGGCTAGAGCAACGAATTAGCTGTTCACGACCAATTGTAGCGTTATTCCAAGACTTGAAACGAAAGTATAGCGCCCGCTGCGTCCGGCCGCTGCGTCGTTCCAGTATTTAAAACAAGTATTATTATTACATTTAATCAGACCGGATTATTTTCTTACCGAAAAAATTAAAAATAAAACAAAAATAAGCGTTATATTTTAAACAGTTAGTGAATATACTATACTGTCAATGTGGACGTTTGGTTTATAAGCATAATTTTTATTGACGTAAACATAATTTTAACATGGAAACAATTTTTATTAATAGAAATAAATACATTTTTACTAAGTTTGTACAATATATTGATTTGTTAATCTAAAATTTATTTATTATTATTTATGTATCATCGTCATCGTCTTGTAAGTCTTCTTGTAATATTAATTTTTCTATTTCATCCTTGAAAATATTAAAACGCGGACGTATATAATAAAGTCTGAAAAAGGTCCGTCAATGTTTCTAATTGTGAAAATTTTCGTGTGTGGTCTCTTCTAATATTTCAGAAATCTTTGTCTCGTGCAATCTTTGTTTCGTGCCTTCATTGCTTCTTCAGAAAACATTCCAATGGGCAAACCAGCACTTTGTATTATATCTGCACCATGCAATAATATTTTGTGCAAATTTAATAGCATATAAAACCAGTCGTACTCTGCTACACATAAGTTAAATGTTGCCATTGCATATTCTTGAGATAAAATCGAATTAATTAATTAATATACTTACAGAATATATAATAAAATATACTAATGTCTATTCGACTAAATACACAATATATAACTACGTGTTGTTGAAGCGTGTGTCACGCAACGCTTCAAACAATAATAACTGTATGTGCGTCGTCGTGCCGACAATATTTAGCGGCGGTCTCTGACGCGTTAGAATTTGTGACAATTCTCAAAATTGGAGTGGACTGTATTGAATGGTTGACTTCGAGTTTAAAACAATAACGAACTTTATTAAATCGTGAGTGATACTGGACTTGTGTATAAGTTAAATGTATGAATGTTGAACTTTGTATTTTGTATCTCGATAGTTTGTCTAATGTCTAATGTATAATTTCTAATGTCTAACGAAGTTTTCTAATGTCTGACGTACAATGTTTATCTAATGTCTAATGTACAATGTTTATCTAATGTCTGACTCTCCGATGCTTTTCCGCGATCCAGGAAAGCTCGGAGTGGGCGTTCACACTTCCTCAAACTTGGAAGGGATAGCAAAAATGATGTTCCTATTGGATGACAAATATTGAGTAGAAGTGGCAAAAAAGTGACGTAGAGAAAGTTGGGTTTTTCCCAAAATGACCGTAGCGAGTAATAAACCTAAGGAGTACCTCGACATGAATGGAAAATGCAAACAAAAGACCACGACTACGGCTAAGGGTTCTGACCCCAGATGTACTGGCAATAAATCAAGAAAAAACTGGCTAGAATGTAATGACTCCTTGGGTCCTATTTCTGCTACGAGTCAAAAGCTATTGAAATTAACAAATGTTTTCTGAAGGACCTAAAAATTACAAACTATTGTGCCCAAAACTTGGCCTGAGGTCTAATCCTCTCCAATATGTATTCTACAACCTAACAATACATGATTTAGAATATAAATTGGTCAACGAAGTTTATTAATCTTTGCAATTATAAGTAATTAAAACAATTTGGGCTGGTGAGAATAGATCCTTCTTCTGCGGAACTAGATGACCCTAATTTCAATTACACAGTGGGTAATGATGTGACAATAGCATGAGAGAGCTTGGTCAACCATACGTCATTTCTCGGTCGATTTACAATCTACTGTACGATGAACTCTGAACGCAGTGGTGCAAGTCAACGATCAGTGAGTCGTATATTTTATGGTTCCTTCGATCCCCACCATATTGCAGGTTAAATAGTCGATAACGACACGGATTATTGGAAATGTCTCGTTTTCTTTTAATTGATTTTAATAAGAAAGTAAAATCTCTGGCAACCTGAAAGATTTTTAAACCTAGGTACTTTTTAATTTCCAAATTTTTTAATTTAATGACTTAGAAACGTAGTAATTCAGAAATATTTAATAAATACTTTATTATAAAAGTACAGGAATTTGATAATTTGAAAAGTCACAAAATTTAGTAACTTGTAAAGTTGAAAATTTATAAAATTCGAAAATACATTTAGAAATCTAGTAATTTGAAAATTTATACCATTATAAAGAATTAGAAATTTAAAAATTGTCGAAGATATAAAGTTAAAAACTCGGTAATTTAGAGATTCAGAACTATAAAAATCTTGATTCAGAATATAAAATTTTCAAATTGAGAAGTCGACTACCCATCAATTCTCTCGAGTGTGCTCCACTTGCACGTCCGCTTTTCGCTAGCGTAATTGTCCATCACTGGTTTGGTCCCGTGTAGTTCTCAAAACCATCATCCTGATTCATGGAATGTGAAATAAAATGGCTGGCAAAAATGAGATTTTGGACGACAACGTAAGTACTCCGGAACGCGAGACACGAACTTCCATAAGATGATTGGTTTATCCTATATCTTGTTCGTGGAATCAATAAGATATCGATAGCAAGTTTCGTAGCCTCTATCGAGTTTCGGGATTTCGATTAGCGTAAAAGTATCGAAATCTCGTCCGATCCTATCCGAATAGTTCCGATTCATCCCGAAGTTTGGGTTAAAATCGTATACCTCTGATAATAATGTTAGAATAATTCATAGACTTAGAGTATATGTATTATGCATAATTTTATAAATCATAAATTATGCGTAAAATATATATTTATACACTATACATTGTAAGATACCACCGAGGGCAACAAGAGAACGAGGAGCCGGAGGCAGAGAAGGCGTCGGGCGCGGTCGAGAGACGCGAACCAGATAGCCGCTGCAGCCCCCGCCTCCGACGAAGGGAGGCGCAGGAGGGC